GTACGTGAATGTGTTYGCATAGCTCTCGAGTATATGTCCGTATAGGACAATGTACAATAGTACATGTACGAATCGACCGTTTATCCCCAATAACATTATTTCCTTATTCCAGTTTGCTCATTCGATCGAAAATTCGTGTATCATTCCTCATCGTAATCAAATCCTATATTGTTTTACTTGTGCAACAACTATTGTATCTCTACTATGGAATCCATTACTGGGAAATCACAAACCTATGCTTTCCCCGAAAAGCAATTTGACAATATTGAATTATCACAATTTGACTTTGAAAAATCACAAACCTATACATCAAATCATTAGCACTAGGATTCAAGTCAATGAACAAAAACTAAGYCATGACTCTTTTTTTTAAAGGTTTTTTGGGTRTTTTGCTTTTCTTTATTTTGCTTTTTTTCAACCARGTAAAATTGACCTTCTAATATATAAAGTTTTWAAAAAATGCTTTTAATTTTTTATATGATAAAATATCAAAATTGTTGGAARAAAATGACTAAAAGCACTAAAAACAAATTAACAACTTAGATTTTAAATTATAAGCTCATTATAAGACATGTTAAAATTCTTCACGTTCTCGAGCCATCCCCAAAATGTATATATCCCCTAAACGATTTCATTACTGAAATGTCGTATCAAATGAARTCCATGTGCGTCAAAAGTTCAAATTAACTCAAAATTGAATTTTTGCATGAGTGTGAAACGCAAGTCGGTTATGTCCACTTCAAAGTGTTCCTCAATTCCTTTCTCCTCCTTCACATGTTCCACTACTACAAGGACTCMCTCATGCCCAAGCTCATTCCATTTCTTAGAAAATGAAAATTATTTCATTTTTGCTGGTRATGCTTTCCATTACAAGTAAGAACAAATCCATTTGAATTGATTTGATTTTCGAATCCAAATTTATTGAAAAGTGAACTCTTAGTAAGTTTGTTTTTAATTTGGTTTGACAAGTTTCTTCKGTTTCTGTAACCACTACCACWAATGCTTGCTTTGCTTGTGACATTGAGAAAATCACATAGATCTCTCGCTTATGATGATCGTGTTTAGGTGATCTCAAACGTATTGACATGATCGTGGATAGCTACATCTTCCACGAGACCAACCATTTTTCTCTACTAGGTGAATTTCAACACAATGAAGAACATATCTTCGTTCTACCTTCATCATCGGCTTCACAAATTTCTTATAATGATGAGTTGTAGATATTAAGATTGGTTCAACTTCAACGTTCACAATGGATGAAGCTCAKAGTAAACTAGCATAGCAGCAAATAGTCTTTTAAAAATTCAATGGCTAAAAAAATTCAATAGTTTTTTTGTAAATCATTTTTTCAAATGTAATTGAAAAAGATAAAAAATAAAAAACTATTATAAATAAAACATGTAGATATAATTATTGTTTCAATTTTATCACCAGTTTCTCTCCTGACTTTTTCCTCAAGCCCTTCTTCTTTGATTTGCTTCTACACAGCCTCAACTCTAAGGGGACCGAGATTTTTCCATGAGTTGATGATGGAGAAGTGCTTGAACTTCTTCGGTKTCCACTTGCTCACGACGGCTTATAGMGTGTTCTSAAATGGATGCTGAGATCAAGGCTAARTATAGAGAAGTTGTTCCTCCACCAGAAACCAGGAGAGAGTTTGTGGTTAGGAAGATCGCTGAACTTAAAGAGGATTCGCCATAAGACTGACAAGCAGATGCGGAAGCTTGGAAAATATGAGGATGAGCTGGCTAAGATTGACAGAGATGCAGAAAAGGTGGAGTAAAGGATCAAGATCGAGAGAGAAGAGTGAGTAAATCCTCTGTTATGTTAGTGAAGAAATTAAAATTA